CCTACCCCTTCTCACTGACTGCACCAGGTATCCTCAAATATTAAATGACTCCCAAAGACTATTACATATCTTTGGAAGCTGAGCTGTTTTTTTAAACTGACCAAGACCATTATATGTGCTTTGTGAGATCTTGATAAAATTGTGACTCATGTTTCAAGAAATGACAGTCTTGTGCATCATTTTTATGCTCAGAAGTGAACAATAGAGGACAGCATATTAAAACAAAATATTTGCTTTGAAAAATAACCTTAATGTCCAAAAATCACTGAAGACAAAATAGACATTTAATAGAAAGATCACATTTAAAGGGACACTTTTTGGAAAAGAAGCTTAACCACTACATAGGATTCACTGAAACCTGAAGAAACCTGAAATTTCTTGTAATTATTACCGAGGGTGGTGATTTTTTTTTTTTACTGTGATTAATTTATAGCTGGCACACTGGGCACAGGGAAGTAGTGGTGGTATGTTAGACATCAAAAAAGGCAATATGACTCTCCTTATCGATGAGTTAACCTAAAAGCAATGAATCATAAGAACTGAATATTGAAAGAACATTTTAGAAAGGAAATAACTGGTAAAACATCAAGGTCAAAATCCTACTCATTTTTTACTAAGTAGCTCACAAAGATTTTTAACAAATCTTGCGCCCCCCAGTGGTTATTCTGAGTGGGTTTTTTCTGTTTGTTTGTTTTGTGTGTGTGTGTGTGTTGTGTGTGTGTGTGTGTGTGTGTGTGTGTGTGTTTTGTTTTTGTTTTCGTTTTTTTGGTTTTTGGTTTTAATTTTACATGCGCTCTTAATTTTGCAGCTTCATTATTTTGGGTAACCCCAGGAAGGTTCTGATAACTAGGAGGAAACTTGGGAGGCTGATTCAATTCGATTGCCCAATTTCATGCTCACAGAAAGAATGATGCCAGGGATGCTAGAGTGCCTAGTATATGATGATTAAGTTCAGGCTCGACAAGATAGGTTCACAAAAGGGCTATCATGCTTGATTCCTCTGTTTGACAGACTAGAAATGAAAGAAAAGCAGTGACATAATTACCCCAGTTTCTGCAGACCTCCAGTACAGCACAGCACGGATATTAAGCAACGCTAGTCCTCAGAATGATTGCAATGCATAATTTTAAAGAGGAAGGTCGCTGCTTTAGCAAGTAAACGAAGGCTTACAAAATCAAAGACAAAAGATGTTTCTGGAATCTGTTTTGCTTGCAAACAGAATGGAAGAGAGCACAGAAAGAAAGTCAGTTGGTGAGAGAAGAGAAACAGGGGACCTGAACCAGGAAACTGGGATGGTGTCTCTCTGTTGGACCTCCAGTCAGCTCTGTGACCTTGGTCAGATTCCCTGGGACTCAGCTTTCTCCTCTGTGAAACAAAGGGTGTGGACTAGGATGGGTGGTGTTCATGAATCTAGGAAATGATCAGAGGCAAGGTGTAGCAGGATCCATCTCACACAAAAGAACCAAAATTATGAAAGTGAAATTAGCTGGTGATAAAAAAAATGGAGAAGAAAGGTGACTGACAGAGAATGCAAATTCATCCAGATACATTCAAAATCTAATATAAAGCTTAATAGAGATGATTCTTTCCAGAAGGAGAATAATGAAGCATATCATTGCCTCTGAATTTCCTCCACTGTAGTCTCCTTCCATCTTCTCTGTCATCACCTTGTTTTTTTCCCTACTTTCTGTTTCCGGTAACTATGGTGATACTCCCTCCCAGCAACCTTCTTCACAGCTGGCCCTTTTGGTACGCATGGAATCTTGCTCCATTCACTGATGCAGGGAGCTGACAGTACTGCCAGAATGTATTTATTTATTAACATTTTCCCCATCCTTTCTGTCCAGGAAATAAATGTAGGGAATTATTCCACACGTAACTTCCCTACATAAGGGGCGCTGTAAAACAAGGATACTCAACTGTTAATTTCAGTTGCTAACATAAAGGGGCTACTGATTACGCCAGAGATTCAATTCCCTGCCTTGGTCCTCAGGGACTGCAAAGTCCCAATACTCAAGCTGGTTGTCACCTCCATTTGCTTTTGTATGTAAACGGAAGATGGCCCCCAGAAATCACAATCAACCCTGGTTTCCTAATCCTCTTTGTTTTTTGCTGCATTCTCCCTCGTAAGGAATCCATTGCCAAGTGCGTAATTATCACAGTTAGAAGGGTATCGAATTTTCCACAGGAAAATATACATAAATATACACATTTCTCTAGTGAACACAGTTATTTATTTTGGAATCTAAATAAGCAATATATGATACTCAGCTTTAAAAATATGTCATTATCTGTCGATGACAAAACATCAAAGAATCTCTGATGTCACGAATGCAGATAATAAAAATTCCCATAAACTGTCGTTTAGTTTAGTCATGTCCAGTTTGGGTAGCCCAACTTATTTGTAATCCTATATGCCGGAAAACAGTTTCTCTATTTAAACATGGGGTGTGTGTGTGTGTGTGTGTGTGTGTGTGTGTGTGTGTGTGTGTCTGGCGTTAACACAAAGGAGAACAGATGATGACATTCATAGGCTTATAGACTCGACTCCTGGGGACACACTTGGATGGAGGCAATTAAGATGACTGTCAGGCATTTGATACCAGAAGCCCCTGTGCAAACTGCTAAATCATACGCCAGGGCTACATCTTATTGTCAGTGAATGATGGCGGAACTGGGTGGCTTGTCATCATTCTGGAAAATTCTGAGGCTAGTGAGCTCTCTCTCCCTCTCCCACTCGCCTTATTTTCCTTTTCGCCACTGCGGGGACTTTTTCTAATTTGCAGCTTCCCTTTCCCCGACACACACAGACAGGAGCTGGTGGCTTGCAGACTGCGTCTGTCTGGAGCTAGAGAGTCACAGCCAGCCCGCGGAGATAATGCTCAGGGAGAGGGCTTCTGCAGCAGTTCTCAAAGGCTAGACTTGGGTGGTATCGCTGCATATGCGCTGGTAATGGTTTGGGTTTTTTAAATTTTTATTTTGTTTTATGCTTAATCCGTTTTCCAAAGGATCTGCTTTATATTCTTTCAAAGTAAAATGCTTAAAAATTCCTTCTTGGGCTTCCTAAAAATTCAAGTACTGCGTTTTTTTGTGCTACAGATTTCAAGACTTAGATTTATTATCTGGATATAAAGAATGAATTTGCTTACTGGTGAGTTACAGTTTTCAATATTTAGCTATTAAATTTATGTGTGAATTTTTTTTCTTTTGTTTCGGTAGACTCTTCAGCTTGTCTCTAACCGAAGAAACATTGATTGAGGACTACTCATTCAGAAAATTAAAAGGTACCACATGCTTTGTTTGGATGTTTAAATGAGGGAAAATCAGGGAAGATTTGGAATGTTTTATTTAAATTAATCTCTCTATGGTTGGTCTTTTATCCTTAAGCCTACGTTGGTCATTGTCTATAGCATGTATAACTTGCTACGCAGAGAATGCCATTATCCAAGGCTATTTTGTTCCTAAACTGTCTAAAGAATTGTGTTTTTTTTTTTTTGTCTGTATTGAAAGTTGTTTGCAAATATCAACAGTCTGGCTTATTGGGGGATTTTTATTATTGCAACAGTTTTTTTTTTAATGTCCAAAATTCTCTATCTTAATGAAAAATTTAATCATTTTAATTTAAGAGAAATACACTGAGTCATGATTTTATCTGAGAGAATCCTGCAAGTAAGTGATATTTTTTAAATGGCTAAATTGAAATGGCTTGCCCTTCCCAGGTAGAATGAGCCCTGGAGAGGAAAGCTCAGGGATGACTCAGTATTGTTGGGTTTTGCGAATAAAACATTGTAACTTCTTCACCGATGCTTCAGTCTTCGGTACTGTATATATTTAAAGGCCAAGGTTATTAGTTATTAAAGGACCCAATTTTACATATGCTTCATTCGGCATTGACAGAGTAAGAAAGTAATCTGTCATCTCACCGTGAAAGGAGTTGAATCATTGATTCTGGGCCTTATGCCTTACATGAAAAATATTAATCCTCAAATTCAGCATTGGGATGTGTATTGATTGGAGGAGCTGATTATGAATATTACCTTTTCTTTAATTCTTGAAGATTGTCTTTGACTTTAACATATACTCATGTCAGTAAAAACCGGTATTTGTAATTAGCCTTTTGAAAAATGGAAGACATTTTTCTGCCTTGCTGAGAAGATCAATGCATCTTTTAAATCTTTCCTTGGCATTCACATAGTATTTCCCCTGAAGATTATCAGTCCAAAATACTTTATGCAGAAAGGTTAGGTTTTTAATGTACTCAAAAAATGGTTAACATTTAACTCCTGATCTGGAAATACCAGAAGTATGCAAGTGTACACCTGTAAGGGTGAATATTTGTAGCAGTTGAAGGAGACAAATGCATTGTCCTTGTTTAATTTTCTCTGCAATGTGTAATTATGAGAAGCTTAATTTATTCATTCCACAAGCACTTATCAAGGGCCTGGCTGCTGTGGGTAGTTATTGTGGGAGAGAGGGAAGGGGCAGGTGCCATTGTCACCCTACTTCCAGAGTGAAGGCAGCATCACATAATGTTTTTGCATAGGAGAATGAATTCATTAAAATAATTCAGTGTGTCCTAAAAGGGAAAATTGCATTATTTCAGATACTGAACAAAATCTAATAGGCTTGTCTCAGAGATATAGGAAATATATTGCATTTTTTCCCTCAGAAATTACTCAGTGGAATCATGTATGAAATCCCCAAATAGGACTTACTATTCCTCCAGGATATTTTAAAACCCTTGGGACTATTCTTTCTTTTTAGATTTCACTCAGAATAAATGAAAACATTTCATATTTGGTGAAAAAGTCTATTTGGCATTTTCCCATCAAACTAAATTTGTACAGTATATATTTCAGGTGAGACTGTTTGCTAATCTTCAGACTCATTTAGCAACTTATTGTATTAACTTTGAACTTTGGGGTATTTACATGAATTGGAAAAGGATGAAGTGATTATTTAACCACTAAAAAATGTATTCAGTCTATCGTCAATAGGAATTAATCAACACTGTTGCAATTTATCTGGGTATTGGAAAAGTGACATATTATCTCACCAAAAGCTTCTTGTTTTCTAAATTTTCTGGGACCATTTTAAAATTCATCTTAGAGTATGTTGACAGATTTAGTGTCATAAACCACAGAATTCAAATAGTCCGTTACATTGTCAAATCAGAAAAGAATTTGACTATTAGAGTCTAAGAGAGTCAGTGATCTATATCACGGTTTTTCGAATCAATGTCGTCTTGACTTTAGGTAATTCCTTTACTGATTTTTTTTTACTCATATCTTCAGCACATAGAATAGTGCCTGGACCACAGCAGTTCAGTAAATATTTGTTTAATTATTTGATGGATAAACGAATTTGCCAGTATTTTCCGTTACGTTTCCATTTTGTTCTTTTTCATGAGATTGCACACTGTTAAACAGACATTTGGTACATTTTTTAGCTACCCAAAATATTCATTAGATGTCTCTAATTAATCAAATTGATTAGATAATTAATACTGAGTAGAAAGTCAGAGGAACCGTGTGTAGAAGTTTTTCAGTCTATATGGAAAAAGATTTTTCTGGTTTTAAGTTAAGATGGAAAGAATTTTTGAAATGTCCCCTTTCACTGTCACCAGCTAGGGGAAAGATGCCAAACTGCAGCATGAGTTTTGCTTTATGGACGCTTCCTAAATACTACTCCTAGGCTTGGCATTGTTTATTGCTCTTCGTGCCTTCAGCCAAAATTTTGCTGCAGCAGATGGGGGTGGGGGGGACGCCCGCCCTCTCTCTCTCAATGTAATACTAGGAATGATGTCATAATCTTCTTAAACGCTTGGTTGCTTATTATAGACTACTGAGTATGACATCATTATATATATATATATATACATGCATACATATATATGTATAATCTGTAAGGAAACTTCTAGAATTATAATAGCTTAATGGAATGCTGTTCTTTCTTGTCATTTATTTTCATTAATAAAACTATGTATTTTTATTATTAACTATGTGCTAGATAATATCCTAAGCCCTCAACGTATGTTAATGCATTTCTAACTCTCCCTATAATTCTGGGTATGGCCTCCATTTTATGAATGAACTGAGATTCTAACTGGGCAGTCAACACAAGTCTGGCCTGAAGTCCTTCATATTAACCACAGATAACTACATTTTTTTTCAAGTAGATTTTTTGGCTCATAATCATTATTTTAATGTTTTATTATGCACATGATATATATGTTATGGAAATAAGGTTAAAAGTATGTTCGTAGATTCTTGTTTTTGTGTGTATAAGGTAGGAGTAAATATATCTTCAAATACTTAACTGTAATATTCAAGCTCTGGTATGTTTTATATTTTTAATACATATTTTATATTTAACATGACAATTTTTATTCTTTACGGAGGAATGTTAGAGATAAAATAGAAAGTTTTTCATAAAGCATCTCCTATGTCGTTACAAAGAAATCGTGTTACTGAATTGCATCATCTATACGAGAAAATTAGCCAGAGAATTCAAGTGCTGAATAGTATAACTTGCAAAGGTTTGATTTTTTTTTTAATTGGGATAATGGCAGAAGTTTCAAATGGCCAAAATAGATAAACAAGCAGGGAACAATGTCTATACAACATGAAAATACCACATTCAACCTTAAAGTACAACTAACTCACCCAGAAAAATAACTGAGGGCACTGACAATTACAAATACATGTTAGGATGCTCTACTTGGAAAGGAATATATATGGCAAAACATTTTCCAAGTTCAGCTGGGTGCAGCAGAATAAAACCGGGAAGTACCACACCAAGGCTCATTGGTACCATAAGAGACGCATGAATGATTTTTTAAGGAATTTTATTGCAGAGCAGAATTACTAACAATTGAGAAGAGACTCAACTGTGGAGGATGACTCTTTTGAGGTGGAACCTAGGGATGAACAGAAGTATTCAAAGGAGAGATAATGCATGGAGGAGCTCCAGGAAGAATAAACAACATTAGCAAATGAACCAAAGGAAGTGAACATGGTTGGAAAGTGTAGACTGCTCTCATTTATACCCTAGAATGCAGGGTGCAAGAAGGGTGTTCTTAGAAGAGAAGGATGGAAAAGTACGTGAATCCTGTTAGGTTGGACCAAATGAAATGCCTCATATTTTATCCTTCAGAACTACAAAATTAAAATTTCATTCAGTTCAACCTAATACACTAGAAGAGGACCTTAATGCCAAGTTGAGAAAATATTTTCTTATTGAATGAAGAGTTTTTGACTGTGTTTTGATTAGGAGACCACAATGACCTGAACTGTGTTTTCAGATTACTTATTTTATAGCTCTGTATGAGACAGGGTTGTGTATGAGAGTATACTGAAGAAAGAATACTTGGAAGCTATCACAGGATAATCCAGGAAAAAATAAAGGCTCAAAGAGGGTGTTGATGGTGGGACATTAAAAAAGAGGTCATGAAAACAAAAGATGTTTCTGAGCTCAAATTTATACACTGAGAATCGCAACTGCTTGATTGGTAGGTAGGAGGGAGGAAGAGCAAAAGGACTCGTGGTAACTCTAACATTTGAAGTTGATAGCTAGAAAATTAAGTGGAGGAAGGTAGGTAAAATCTGCTTGAGGAAAGAGGCCTTTTTTCATTTCTATTATACCCCTAGCCTCTAGAAGACTGTGTGGTACATAGTAGACAGCCAGTACATGCTGACTGAATGAGTGAGAGAGTGAATAGAAAATGAAGAGGCAGGTGTAGACCGTGTTGGCTGGATGTAGGTGGACTGGTCTGGTAGATTGCAGAGAAGAGAAATTAGGGAGATAAAGTGTGGAGGATATTATCAGGAAAGATGAGAAGAGGACCAGAGAGAAAACTCTTGACAGCACTCTCATTTAGAATGCAGAATCAGGGACAGGTTGACAAAGTTAAAGGAAGATTTAAAAAAAAAAAAGGCAAAGAAAAGAGAAGACAGTTGAAGTAATAGAAAACAAGGCTAAAATTCAAATTCTCCAGAAAAACTGAAGAATGAGATTAAATAAAAGACTGCTGGATTTATTGTTTATTTTGGTCATGTTTTCTGTTATAAAAATAATAAATTCACATTTTGTAAAATTCAGAAGAGTGTTAGGGAGGAAATATTAGCCATCCATAATTACACAATCCAGAGACTGTGGTTAACACTTTCTAAACTTTTTGGCTTCTTTTCATCTGTTGCATTTAAATTTACGTAATCAGGATCAGAACAATACAATTTGAATTCTGCCTTTTTTCCACCAGAGTGTCTTCCGCATCTCTTATAAC